TTACATAATAGACTTGTGCCTCAAGCTTCAAATGTCTGTTTCCCAAAGACTGCTAGGACAGCAGCCAAAGCCAGCACAGTTAGCACAGCCATTTCCAGCACTGGTACAAGGTAGTTCTTGACCCAGTCTAAGGCAATAGCTTGAAGAGACTCACCCGTGGCATTCTGACTAACCTTTTGTTCAAGGCTCCTCTCTAAAGACTGGATCCTCATTTGTTCTTTGCGAAGACTAGCTTGTAGTGCTGCAGTCTCTGATTTAGCTTTGCTTCGTACCTGGGCAATTTCCTCATTTGCTCTGGAATGGAAGCAAGGTGGTGTTTACATTCCCTTCAGACAGCACAGCAAAACTGTTCACAGAATCACACCAGACACTAGTACTTTGGATTAATCCCCAAACTAAAAGTGTTTTAAGCTAAGTGTTGGTATTAATGAACCAGATTTTGCGGCAACTGTTGTATTTCACTCCCAACACTTGGCTTCTTGACACAGTACTTACTGATGCAGCTTTTCTTCAGCATGTGCCTTTAGTGCTTGATACCTCTGCTCCTCTTTTTTAATTCTAGCCAGGTATTCTTCAGCACATTTTTTCAGAGCATCTTCATTCTGTCCCAAAACCAAGAAGCTTAGTTAGCTCTTTACATGCTAGTACATGGAAGAGTCTCTCCACTTCACAAACAGGCTATTTGACTACACTAAAGTGTCAGCATTTGCTCATTGGAATAACAGGAACAACTGTTAAGACCCACAGACCTACACAGGGACTAAAGCTCCCCCTTTCAACTCCCTTAACTTTGCAAACTAAGATTTATCCACCCCCTTTCCCTCCCAATATACTGTTTATTTAGCAGTAAATTTTACTAAAGGGGAAAGGTCACTGAAACTAAGATCACTAATCATTTGTGTGTGTTTTGTTGGGGTTTTTTAAAGCAGCTTTGTCTTAGCTTGTAATTGTCCTAAGAATAGCTAGAAGACCAATTGCTTCAGACAACCAACAGAAAGATTCAGGCTTTGGACCCTAATGTAAATGAATCCAACATTAACAGCAAGAAAGTTGCCCTATAGGCACAGACATTATGACACCTTATCTATTATAGTGAGTTGGAACTGTTTGAAACAAGTGCTAAGACTCCCTACTAAATCCAGCTCTTGAATTTAGCAACTCTGTTTCCAAGTGATGCTTTAACTCTATGCTAAGGAAAGGGCTTCTGAATTTAAGGTGGTGAGATGGAAGGGACACAAGATGAAGGAAGCCTGACATGTTAGTAAAGCAGAAACTTAAGTCATTACACAGACATCATGCCTGTTTATCAAACTTAGACTACCATGAAACTTGTAACAGGCTAATTCTAAGCTTGAGTAAATAGGTGACATTAAAAAAGTGCCTTCAGATTATTTTTTTCAGTTATCCTTTAAACAGCAACTGAATCAATTTTTATGCATTTCATGCAATAAAACCCCATAGTTTATGCTCCTCGTTAGCTTCATTCCTCCAGTCTCTGAAGATGCTGCAGAATAAAGTCCTGACTTTACCAAGTTGGGTTTTCTTTAACCTAAAGAACACCCAATAAGCTATTATCACTTTTGACTTGTAATAGCAAATCCTCTTCAGCATCCATTCAACATGATGTAGGGGAAGCAAGCTGCCCTTACACAGCAGTTGCTACATGAAAGTCTCTCCCTATGCTTAACAGAAAAGTGACATGGCATGCAACAAGAAGCAGCTCATTCTTCTGCTTGACAAAACTGGCTTCTAACAGGGAGATCATTACCATACTTTAAGCCAGCTACTAAATAGAACAAACCAGTAATTTTTCAAATATTTAAATAAACAACAACTTAACACCTGGTTTGACAGGTAGTGCCTATACTAGCTAATTGATGGCTGCTCTAGAAATTCATCATTTCCTCTCCAATAATTTTCATTCATCTTGGAAGGATATTATTTGCATTATAGCACCCTACCTTGCGGTAACCCTCTAGCACTTCTTTTTGTTTTTCAAATCGTTTGAAAAGTTCAGAGAAAGATTTCTCCATAGAGTTCAGATCTGAAATAACTTGTTGCTTCTCTTCCACAATCCTCTGCATTTCTTTCTTTGAACACTCCTTCTGCTTCTGAGCATCCTCTAAAGAAAGTGCAGTTAGAGTTACACTCATAGTTATTGCATTAGCATAAATCTAGTTCCATTGTATGGACAGATAACCCACACACCTTCAGTTCTTCCTCTTAAGCAAAAAAGGGTTTCATAATGTAGTCTCCTCTGAAAGGACACCATTCTTTGCTTTTAAGGAAGCAGTCATAGTCTCTTTATTTGCTACATACTACTCCACATCAGCACAAGGCCATTAAAGATCGATTATAAGGTGCTTGCCCAAAGCATTGTTTCTCCTGCAATGTAGTCAAAACACTACACCCAAGTTTACCATAAGAGGAGCCTCAACTGTTGTGATAGGAACAAGGAATCAAAAAATATTTGTTTTCATTAAATATACACAATAGCTCCAAGACCTGGAGAAGACTGGGATAACAAGCCAAACTGGCATAGCAAACTTTCAGGACAAGTTTTTGGTAAGCGCACCCGAGCTGTGTTTCCCATAGGCTTAAAGAAGCACAGAAGAGCCAACATAATATTCAGTCTCCTTGAACTAAATTTAAGCAAGGCAGATTTGACTACTCAGCTTTGAACTAGGAGCCTATACAACAAGGGTTTCATTGAATGTCTCCCTAGCTTTGAAGCCACAAACTGGACTGACGTAAAGGCCAGATCTGTCCAGCAAGAACTATTGACATCTTATTACTTAAATGAGGTCAGATAATAAACAGTTAAATACAAGGTGCAGACAACTGGATCTCCAACTTTAATAAACCAACATCTCACTCTCCACTGGAGAATAAGAAAGTTAGTTGTGTTCATGCCTGATTCAGGTAGTCATCACTACCTACTAAGTGATATCATGAATATGCCTAAAATTGTTACTCCAGCTATCTTGTCTGAAACCTTACACTCACCCTGGGAACTTGAAATATTAACACCACCGTAAGTGACAGTACCAACTTCAGTTAGTAACCTTAGACTAAGCATGCCCCACCCACCCCCAAGCCATTCAAAGTGTAAATACTTGGGACTTACCCATCATTTGTGTTATTGTACCTTCAAACTCAGCAACTATTTTTCTGAAAAAAAGCGTGACAAAAAATATTAAGTTAGAAAAAGCAGCTGGAGTAAATAAGTAGATAGAATAATCAGGACCGATTCATACCCCATTTCCTTGTATTCCATATGAAGCTTATCATACTTCTTTTTCCATTCCTGTGTCTCCAACTGTTTCTCCTGAACCTTTGATGGGAAAAGTAAAAGTTATGTCTTGCACAGGAAGAGATACAAGATTTGATACTCGGGAAAGCCTGATGGACAGCTTAGGTATACTTACAACTTGATAGGGAGAAAAGTAACTTCTATCTGCTTAACAGAATAAAAATTAAGTATTTCATTACAAATTTGAGTAAAATAAGATGTAAAATAAGATGTAGGTTGATAATAGATTCTGCATATATGATTCCCACTCAATGTTACCAGTACCTCTTCAAATGGCAAGGTAAGAGCCAACTCCACCCACCTCTTGGCTACTCTCACTCATGTATGTAGATTGTTGTTCCTTGGCTAGTTATGTTCTCTCAAGTGACATACAATTCCCTTTTATTTACAAAGCAGATGAAAAAGCCACACAAATCTGCTAATCTTAACACAGGAAAGTGCAAAAACCAGAAGTCAATTTTAGTCAAGATCAAATTGCTGTTTGAAGTAATTTATATTCAACACTCAATGCTCCTGCTACCATGTTTCTGAATTCAAAGACACCTCAGTTCATTTAAAAATAACAATACCTATTCCCCACCAGCTGACTTAAAGCAGAGCTCACAGTAACAGTATAAAGCAGTATAAGCACTCTTGGCTGAATGCTTTGTGCAAACTCCATAAACTTAATCTTGTCCTGGAGCTTCTATAAGGAACTGTTACACCAATAGTTGACTGCAGTGTGGGAGGCCCTCAATGACAACAGACACCCAAAAACAGATGAAATGACCTGGAATTTTAAAATGAGAGAAGGTGAGAGCACATTACTGCTGATTTCCCTTCAAAAGTGCACAGTACACTATAGGACACTGATTTTCAGTATTTGTTTTACAGTAAACTCATTTTAAATGTATTGTAATACTTCAGACTACAGGAAGTGGGGCACAAGTGAAAACAAGAATGTACCAAAATATAAAAAGTGAACAATGGTTAGGCTAGAAACAAGTGTTACAAAAGCAGTAGCATGTGAAGATGAAAACTAGTCAGAAACTTTCATCTGCAAATTCAGAAATGGTTCAGTAGACCAAAAAAAACATGCTTCCATGAAGTGCTGTATTTGCCTAGAAGGAAGAGAGTTTGGGGTTTCCCCCCCTGCCTCTCCTCCCACTCTTGAGTAATTTCACCATAAAAGTAATGTTAAAGTTTAGTCTGTCTTCCTTTCAGGTTAACATAGCCCATCTTCCTTTCAGGTTAATACAGTAATTCCAAGCATTTTTAGTTGTTTACAGGACAACACAGCTGGAGTCGTCCAGTCACACCTGTCTTGCTACAACAATGTTTGCATGTTTAAAATAGTTCTTTGAAACAAGAGATTAGAGCACCAGTTTTAAGATATTACAAGCTTTACCCCCTGTTATTATATAAATTCTTCATTTTAGATCAATGCACTAAGAGTTGTTGCCTATCAGAGCTGCACTTGTTTTCCTGTACTAGACAATAGGCTGGGTAAAAGCATCCTTCTAAATGACAGAAAGCAAAATGTTACTCCTAGAAAAGCTAGTATCTTTGTACTTTAAAGGGAAAGAATAACTTAAGCAGCAAACAATCACAGGTGATCTCTTTGGTGTCCTTAGTGTCACTGCCTGGGGTAGAGCTAGTCAGGAATTTTTGACTGCTCCTTTTATTCTGGAGTTAATTTTGAAGTGACACAATTAGCTTTTAAGGACATTTATGCTTAAGTAGTCCTCTTACATTACTCAGTATTTGTAAGGTTACATAAGGCAGAAGCCATAATGAATTAAATACCTACGTTTTTTATTCAGTGGACACATAACTTACTGCATCAGTAAGAAGATGGGGGTCAAAAGCAATTTCTGTAGCGATACAGCTACAGAATATGCTTGAAAACCCACTGACTACTTCTTACCTCCTCCACAGTGATCTCCAAATATCACTTATTTTATTAGCTCGACAAACTGTTGTGCCTCCCCATCCCACAAAAAAGTTTGATTGCTGCACTAAAGTGCATTAGTTTTATAATTATTTCCTTAAAACAAGGTATCAGAAGCCACTCCCTCCCATTGGCAAGAACGGGTATTCCCTGCCTAGTTCAATAAAGGGTATTCAGATCACCGATATTAAGCCTAACCATTCCATTTGGTAACAGATGCTTTTTAATGCTGATCCGTTCTAAGGCAGAACCTGACTAATAATGACATTTACTATATTTCCTTAGATATTAGCGCTGAAGAATTATTTACCTACTGCTCTAACGAAGTGCACAGCAAACTTTAGAATGTGATGCTTATGTCAAGTATGATGGAAAGAATTACCAAGTATAGAGATTTACACCAGATAATCCAAACACAAGGGACTTTCAAGGCTATGCAGAGTTCTGCTTTGGAAAGATCACCATACCTCTCTCCTAACCAGCTCAACAGCTGCATCCATGTCTTTTTGGCTATATTTTAGCACATCTACAATAGCATCCACTGCAGTGTTTGTGGAAGCAGCAAGAGGGAGTGGAGGAACACCACTAGTCAGGGAGTCTGGAATTAGGGGATCTGGGTCCTGTGAGGAAGGAAAAAAAGTTAGTTTCAACAGATCCCTATTTTCATGCCATTGACTAGCTGTATACAGATTATTCAATGGTAAATAAACATATTTTACTTAAACACCCAAAATACCTCCACAATCTCATTATCATAACTTTCTTACTTTATAGTTATCTTTTAGAACTAGGTAGTATTCTTTAAGGTATAACAGAAACTGCTATCCACCAATTATAGCCATCAGAAACAAAGCAGATGACACCACACTGCTCCCCACCAGTAAAAAAGGCACCATTTCAGGATGAACTGCTGTGTGCAGATCTGTTCATAAGAGGCTGTTCAAACTATAAACCTTAGACTGTAAAGCATCAAGTTTAATCAAAGAAGTGCTTTTCATTCCAGGAGTGCAATTAAAATTTTGTGGCTTCAGCTGCATGAAAAAGACTACTTGATTAAAGCATTCTTAACAGCTCATTCTCCTAGACCATGTGCAATGTCACCAGCTTCCACAAAAAAAATATTTTAATACTTAAGAAAATGAAGTCCTCCAAAAAAGTTCAACTTGCATCAAAGTGAGTATCCAACCTGGTTTTTAAGATAACAGTTTAAATAAGCATTAACTATTCTGCAATCCTTAGAATACTTGCATAAGTCCAGAACCCAGCCCATCCATTTCCCAAAACATCCACACGAAACCTGATGCCATTCCAGATACCCTTACAGAAGTCGTAAACGTTCCCAGAAGATCTAGTCCTTTTGGTTTTTCTTCATTTTGAAGACTCACTGCAGGCTTTTCAGCTTCCGGAAGCAATTTAGTTAAATCAGCAACGGGACTAAAACCAAGCAAACATACACCATCATATTCAAGCACCATCATTTCTTGTAAAGCTATGTACTACAGCCTAGATTACAGCAATACCTACCCACACTGAAGTGGAGCTGTCATGATACTCATATTTGTTTCAGTATTGCCAGAAACTGGTTTTCGCGGACTGTCTCTCAACAGCGGGTCAAACTTCAAATACAGAGACTGTTTCCTCCAGGCAGACTCTTTGAACTGAGGGGAAAGAGGCATAAACTGGCAGATATGCTGCTTCATAGCATAACACACACATCCCCCCCACTCACACAAATAATCCTCTGGAGAGAGGGTGAGCCTATTCTTCAGTGGCCAAAGCATTGTTCTCAGGAGAAAAATTACGTAAGAGAACTCAGTGCCCACACGCTTAAGTCCTTATGTAATATCAAGTGAACTCAATCTGCTCAGACACAACCAAAAGGGCAAACGTTTATGAACTATTCAAAACCAGCAGAAGACACTGAAAGGGAAGGATAGTATTGTAAGCTGAATGAGCAGCGTATGTCATTCTCTGTCTTTGCTCACACACAGTAAGGACAAACACAGCGTGACCAAAGCCAATTTCAATGCAGTGTATTCACTGTATATTCAGAGCCACTCCTACTCTGGACCAAAGCAGGAGAAAGAACAACTAAGTTGAACTGATTAAAACATTACATGCCCAATTTAGAGAGAGATTTCCTGAAACTGCCTATAAAACAAAAGAGCTTAGGAAAAAAAATATTTTGAAAACAATGATCCTCCACTTCCAAAGCATGATGTTCTTGCAGTTTTGGCAACCAGAGGGGTGAAACGTCATCCAACGCAGTTTCACCGCTATTAAAGAAAAATAGTGCCCTTGCAAACCGAAAGCAGAAAGACCTCTGTTCCTCAGCAGAATTGCTCATAGCTCCATTTCCTTCTAACACCACCCCCTGCCCAGCCTTGTCAACACATTCCTTTGGAATAGAACCTGTATTTCTGTGGGCAGGTTCAAAGTGAAGTTATTTCATGAAAACATTTAAGGCTTGACAGTTTCATTTTCCCTTCCTCTCCCCTGCGGCCACAGAGGCAAACAAAACATTTCAATGTCATACTTACTGATGAAGCCCCAAACTGTTCCAGATAGTCTATTTCTATGCCCATTCCTAGAACTAGAAAAAAAGGAAATGATTCAATGAAGATACAATATTGTCACATTGTCTTACAGCGAAGCACCAGACAGAAACAAATAGGTATTTGCATAAAGCAAATAAATGCCTGCTCCCACCTCATGAACTCTAGTTTTTTTCATGTGGTAAATACTGTATTTCTATATCTAAACCTGAAAAAATAAAATTTTTTAAAAAGTCAGGCAAAGATTCCTAAGCCAAGCAAACTCACATCTTCTCTGTCCCCAAACACCTGTAAGAATATGTAGAATTCAACACGCAGTTGAAGAGCTTCTGTTGTTCTACAGCTAAAGTGGCAAGCGCACTCAGATATTCTGCTCTTTCATACAATGCCCCATAACAGTAAGACTGCAAATCTCACTGTTAGGATTAGCAAACAGCTCAGATTTCAACCATGAAGTTAAAGCCATTCCTCAGCAATACTTAAGTGGAATCAGGATGTAAGTGACAGACTGCACTGCAGTCAGATCATTTGCTCAGCCTTCCACACAACGCTCATACAAGTGGTTAAGTCACAGCTACACAGTAAGCTTTCAAGACAAGCATGCAAGTGCAGAAAGACCATCCACACTGCAATATGAAATCAGCATTCCAGTAGTGATAAGGCCCGCAGTACCCTACAGGACTCAAATACAGGCAGTTGTATAGCTCTAGTGCTCTCCATTTAGAAAGTCCTTAATACCACAAGTGATTTTAAGGGAGCATTTTTTCCAGGACAGAAACCTGCCACTGAAACTCTGAAAAGATTGTTTCTGTACCAGCCTAGATGTCAATTCTTCCAGCCAGCTGAACACTAGTAGCCAGCTTTTTGAATTTAGTTTAATCCAGAGGAAGTTAGAAATATGCTTAGGTACCTTCCTCACCCCTGCTAGTCACTGTAAGTTTTACAGTCCTTTCACAAGAGCAAAGTGAGAGACAAAATTGAATCAATGCCAAAACTAAAGTAGAGAAACACGTACATAGAGGTTCTTGGAACAGTATCTTTACAGTCTGTTCTAAAGAAATGCCCTCACCTTCTGAGGATGGTCTGAAGAACTCTTCAGGCTCCGTGTTAGCTGTTTGCTCATCCGCTGTTACTTCAGTTCTGTGGGAACTAGGTTTAATTTCTTCTGCAGACATTGACTTTTTTCCACTGTCAGCAGAAACCAAATTATCTTGAGAAAGGACATTAGCTGGAGACATTTTAGATGGGCTCATTTGCTTCTCCTGATGAGAAAAAACACAATCCTTTTTACTGTTAAAATAATGATTTTAACACAATGAAAATCCCAATAATGATCAAATTGGTTTGTCATTAACCAGGCAGCCAGCATAATAAACCAAGAGTTCACAGGCTTAAAAACTAAGCTACCAACAGTGACTACAGCTCATATTATACAGGAGTCACTTTTTTAGAGTCCACACCCTTATGTTTGTCCTTCTATGTGACTGCTGATCAAAAAAAGATACTAAATACCAAGGTACCAATTTGGCTGCCTCTGATGTTACCTTCAAAAGGCAAGTCTGCACAGTTGATATTCATTCTAGAGCTGCTGAAGATGCATAAAAACACAAGTTCTTCAACAAAATATCAAACACGGGTTTGACAAGTTTATGTCAAAGAACTCTGTTTCATGGAACAACTTGGTAAGAACTGGCTATCTTTCCTATACCTTACCATGGCTATCTCTCCTGGAAGTTCAGCTTCTCCTTGAACTCCCAGCTTGTCTCCTCGAGTTCTCAGCTTATCTCCTACCACACCCTGTTTGCCTATTTCCCTAAAGAAAAAAAGAAAAAAAAAAATCAAAATCCAAGTCACACAGACAGTCCTGAATTCTGCATTACCAGATATACTGAAGCATTGAACAAAGTAAGCTTCTTTGAGAGTTTCTACTGCCACAGTAGAAAAAGCTTTATAGAGGGTGGGGATGTAAAGTCACTGTCTTGCCTGGTGACAACTTAAGTGAGGCAGCTCTCCCTTCATCAGAAGCAGTGCTATCTGGGAAGCAGAGAGTCACAGTAGTTTCACTCAGTCCTATTCACTTCACACCGTTCTCCTCTATTTGTTAAGCCTTTTTTTTAATTAAAGATAGGCTTTTTGTTTAATTAAGAACAGAATTAAAAGCAGCCTGCTACTCTTTCCAAAGTAACGCAGTGACTATTGCTATAAAGCACAGAATTTCACTAGAGAAGTCCAATACTTTAGCTACTGCTGACAGCCCAAACTTAACTTTTCACCTCGGTCGATAGTAGCTGATCATGTTACACAGGGAGCAAGAGAGCAAACAATTCTGACAAATTAACATCTTGTGCCAGACTAGTTCTGGGGAGCACCTGCCGGTCTACAGCAACGCTGACATTTTAGTAGTTAGACCTTCTAGGAAAGGCAACACAACTGCTCCCATTCTCAAATAGGAAGTTTTACATGGGGCCAAATAATGCAACTTTAGTGACAGGCCTTTTCATTGGAGACAGCACTCAGATACCAAGAACATGCAAGGAAGCAACAGTACCTCATAGTTCAGGACACCAAGCAGAGAACAAATTGCCTAGTCCCTTCACATGCTGCCTGATGTGCAACGCTGCTGCCTACTTATGCTTTTTGGAAGACAGCAGCAGTCACTTGATTCTCCATTTTACTGTAATCTTGGACAAGTGGGGAAAGAGCCACTTGACCAAGATACTATTCTCATAAGCCTGTTCCCTCCCATTCCTCCAGCAACACCTTTTGCTCAGAGCTAGCCATCTCAGGGTGGTTTCCCCAATGAGATCTTTGCCATTGCAACGTTGTGTTGAAGTTTACAATGTGCAACAAACTCAGCCAATCTCAGAGGGAGGAATCAACTAGTTGAGAGGTACCATCTGTCTTTTCCTCACATGAGTTCAAGGTGCTTCTACATTCAGGCACAGATTTACTTACAGCTTTTTGGGTTCTTTTTTCTCAAGAGTTTCACAGGTACTTGGTCCATCATCTTTCTCCACTGGAAGAGGCTCCTTTCTTGATGAGGTACTATCCTGCTCCTCATGCAGGTGAGCTTTCTGAGGGCTAGGCTTAGAGCATTTGGGTGAGCTGGAAATTTTAGAGCCTCCTCCAAATGGATTAAAGTTTGGATCATCAAGTTTGTCCCAGTCAAACTTATAAGATGCCTTGGGAACAGGGATTTGATCTTCCACATTACTTTTGTTTTGCACTTCAGAATTCTCTGGTTTTGTTTTGGTAATAGGAATTTTTTTGGAAGGTGGCTTAATTCCAGGTCTTTTACCTAATTTCTTAGGAGGTGGCTTTCTAGTAGTGGTATCATCAAAGTCAAATTCCAGTTTTACTGGCCCAGCCTTGGTGACACCAGGCTTTTCTGCAGGTTCCCCTTTGGAGATAGCCAGCTCTTCTGCAGAGGATGCTTCTGCTACTGAAACATTCTGAAGCTTTGATTCCCCAGTTTTAGAAGAGTTAATTACATCAGAACTACTGGGACCTAAGTTGCCAGATAACTGAACAGGAGGTACAGGTGCTTCTCCTAATC